AACTGATTACACTTTGGACCTCAAGACTGACTACACTTTGGACCTCATAACTAATTACACTTTGGACTTCACGACTGACTATACTTTGGACCTCAAAACTGACTACATTTTGAACCTGATAACCAATTACACTTTGGACCTCACGGCTGACTGTACTTTGGACCTGACAACTGATTACACTGTGAACCTCATTACTGACTACACTTTGCACCTCATAACTGACTATACTTTGGACCTCATAACTGATTACACTCTGGACCTCACGGCTGACTGTACTTTGGACCTCATAACTAACTACACTTTGGAGCTCATAACTGATTACACTTTGGACCTCAAGACTGACTACACTTTGGACCTCATAACTTACTACATTTTGAACCTCATAACTAATTACCCTTTGGACTTCATAACTGACCAGCTCCCCACCAACTCTTAATTGGGACTATCCCCACTCTGCGTGAAACGTAACATACATAAAACAAGCGATACATATGATACAAACATTAGTGCTTGACAGTGACATTTATCCCCACTCTTTCTCTCAATGCCAATTCCTGGAATATACCCCCCTTAACTGACCAGTTTTGGTTCCAACTGTTGGTCAATTACTAGGTTACCAACTGGAGGTCACTACTGTACTAGATTAGGTGCGAGAGATCTAACCTAAATCTTGTTTAGTCGTTCGTCACTTTACCTGGACCAAACTGGCGTAGTTGTCCTTGTCACGGGGCTTCCCACCGTCCCTGAACGCCGGATACTCCCAGTCGAGATCGAGGCCGTCGAAGTGGTTCTTCCGCAAGAATTTCACGGCATTCTTGACGAACTCTCGCCTCCTGTCCGGGTCGGCGACCATCGGGGAGAACCTGCTGGAACCTTCGTTCCAACCGCCGACAGCCAGCAGGGTCTTCAAGTTTTTGTTGTACGTTTTCAAGCCGGTGAACTTGGCGTATCCACCTTGGAAACGTGGATTTCGCAACGTGGTTAATCGGCGCGAATCTTTCTCTCGCGTCCGGATCGATTTATTCTCATTTATGTCTCACCCTCATCTCTAATTCTCTTTTGTTCTTTTAACCACTTAGCTGTGAGTAACGAGTATACTCGTCACGAAGGAATGGCGTTCTTTTCTCCTCGTGCAACGACGAGTATACTCGTCGTGCGAAAAAAAGTAATTACAACTTGTTAATTTACTGAAATTAAATTCTTCGTAGAAAACGAAACATATTTATAAATCTTAGATCATTTTAGAATATTTCGATTACTACATTTGGCTAGTTCTTTTCACATCATTTCATGATATTTTCTTGCTGTTAATATTCATCAATTGATTAATGTTAGTCATCCTCTTTTCTCATCTCTGTCGTACTACCTTTCTCGATGTCCTGGTACTTGTCGAATGGTTTCAAAGCGTTGTCCTTGGTGAATCCGCCGAACGCGTAGATCAGGTGGGTGCACAGGTACGGATTGATGTTCTGCGGCGAGAACTTGGCCGTTCCCGGCCGATAGATCGACCAGTTCGTGTAGTAGCACACGATCTTCCGCTCGGCGTTACCTAAGTGCACACGCACGTAACTCGAGTGAATATTTCTTTCGTTTTATCTCGTTTGTTTCGCGAACTCGTCGCCGAGGGAGAAACTGAAACGCGCGACGTATTTCATTGGTCGAGCAGGAAAACAGATTATCGGGACGCGATAGCTGTTGAAAAAACAAATCGACAATACTTAGCACAGATGCTAAATAGTGAAAATTACGAAATTCTTCTTTTTTCGTCAGCGTGCGCTTTCGATTTTTTCGATCGAGGACGCGCAGAAGAAAAAAAGAAGAATCGAGGTTAGAATCAAGATGGCGCGTGACCCTGACCACCCGCGTGGGACACAAAGAGTCGTCAGTGATTTCATTCTCGTGTGGGATCGTGCCGCACGACGTGTTTCGGTTTCTATCGACGCTACATGCTCGGCGTGTTATTACCAGGTTGGTGTTTTCTAACGTGAAATCCTACACAGGCCGAGTGTAGAAAGTCGTTTTCGATTTTCACGGGAGAAAAATAGCCAGGTTAAGAGCAGGCTTTGGTACAGTTTCCACGGTACTCAGTTTCGCACGAAACGCCAGTTTCTGCCACGACACGACGATGTTAATCGACTGATCGAAATGACCGGTTTATAATTGCCCGTTGGACATTTTATAGACGCGAAACAGTGCGTCTCTAAAGGTTGTAAATAATTTTTTCGGTAAAATATATAAATAAAAGTAAGATAAAAATGTCTAATATAACAAGTTATTTGTTATATTATAAATGATATAATTGTATTATTTGAGTAATTATAATGTAATATAATTATATTATAAATTATTTATTATCATATTATAAATATATTATAAACATGTTAATAAACGTATAAATAGAAATGAGAGATCGGCACGAAACCCGAAGATCGAGGCAAATGATCGAACGATACGAAAAGGCGTATTTGAAATTTTATTTCATTCCAGAGATTAACGATGTGTTTCGCGTTGTACGAACGTTACAAAGGCGGTAATGGAGTTGAGCGTGCTGCATAATACCAGGGAGGAGATAATATCGGTAAGAGGCTCGCGAATCTGGAATTCTCGCCGCGTTCGTGTGGAACAAGTACCTGTTACCCCGAGACACTAGAACTACTGACGATTAAAGCATAAAACCTCATCATCAGAGACACTGAAGTGTCCAAAAAAATAGAGAAACTATAATAATAACAAGCTTTTATATATTTTACGAAGGATTGTTTGAATCTTTAAAAGCATACTGTTTTGAGTTTGTAAAATTTCTAACAAAAGATTTTTCACTTCGATGATGGTGTTCACTTGACCAATGAAAACTAAATTGTATACAAATTGTACGTTAACACTAGCGACGACTAAAGCACAGGGTGGGCCAAAAGTTTCTTCCCACCTATTTTCTTCTTTTTAGCAAAACATGAAAAACACGAGGGAACTAACTAATTTCATTAATTTTAAATTAGATTTAAGTTCGAACACACGATTATTTCCGTCGTGTTTCAAAAGTTACTTCCTTCAAATGCTAGAATGAAAAAGTTACAGATTTATTTCAGTAGGAAGTGATTTTTGGCCCACCCTGTATAGTGTGTATTCGTAGCAAAGGTACAAAAGAGATAAACTTCTATCAGTATATTTTATTAAAAATCACTCTTGTATATTTCAAAATATATTGTTATAAATGTACAAGATTTCCATTGGTCAAATTACAAATTGGTCATTTTGACCAACGTTTTAGCACGAAGAGTAATCTTGCGAATATTTCAAGAAGAGGTGGCCAATAAATTACTACGATGCATCGCGATTCATTGCGTCAGTGACAAGGTTTATAGGTTAGGTTTCTACTCTTTCAGCTTCTCTTCTAAAAAAAAATTAAGAAACGCTTAACGCTCTAATGAGACGCGAAGGCGGAAACTGAGCAGGCAACAGGTACCTGAAGTACCCCATTTCGAACAGGGGCCGTTTTTGCCGCGACCGTTTTCTCCGAGAACGTGCACATTCGTTTTCACCGGTTCGAGGTATATGGCGAGCCTGGTGAAATCGCGTCGGTGAAGTCACGTCGTGT